AACACAGCATTCCTGCCTGTGAGACACAGATTAGGGGACTGAACAGTTGAATTCCTGGAAGGTGGTGGAATAACTGTAGATAGTGAAGCTATCCTTTACATAAACTCATAGATGCTACCTGTGTACAGAACCACATTAATTTCAGCGTTTTGTGAAAGGTAACAAAGCCATTCATAGAGCAAACAGTTTATGGGGGGGGGATAATGTGATGTGGAGTTGCTGAATCTTGTTAAATTTTCTCAATTGTCACAATTTTGGTAGACTTTCAAGCAGCGTGCTGGCAGGCAAATTTTGTTTAATCTTTGTCCTTTAAAAAGCAGTTATTGTTACTTCATTCCAGTTAAAATCAAAAGCTGTTGTCTGCCAAGATTGTCTCTTTGTGGTCCTTATAAATGGAGTCATCTTATTAAGAAGAAATCCAGGCATGTTTCTTGCTTCATGACATGTGCGTAAAGCTTTGATTGGGGCAAGAAAATAATCAGGAAAAGTGTATTATTAGATAGTTGGCTGTTCAACAAGGAGGCTGAGGGAATGTATGGACGGGAGAGAGAAAATATCTAGGAATTAAATACAAGGAGGGAATGAGAGAGAGGGATGCAAAAAGTCGTCCCACTGGATACAGCGGTTGGGAAGCTGTAACACAGACAATTTACACACACAAACAGGACACAATGAACTGGGCACTGGGAGAAACAAAGCAGGGGGAAGTTTTGAAAGAAAGATGTGAAGATGGGGCCTTAAGGCACTGGTTCTGTCAGGGTGGTCAGTTCATTTGGAGCCAGGGTTATCTTCAAATAGATCCTGTCATGAAGGGCTGAAGGAGCTTGTTTAGGATGACAGCCTCAGTTAAGTTGGTCCCTGCAACTGGCCCTGAAGCACAGAAGAATCCAAGTGAAAGGACAGGCTTACCCTAGTTGCCATTCATTTTACTGGGTTATCACTTGCAATGCACAGTGAAGGAAGGGCCTGAAGAAGGCTGCAGCTCATCACGGATTCTCTACTAGGCAGGCTACGCAGTTCCATTGATATAGGACAGGTAGATAAAAATGGCAATGAAAGAATATCTGATAGTAGCTGATTACCAGGTCCTCTCTGCTCCATCTCCTACATCTCCTACCTGTGGTGAGGCCACTTCTCTACAAATGCACGGGAGAAACTGCATTCCAGGACCTGTCTCCTCACCTCAGCCTGGTGAATGGTCAGTAATGGAAGTTATAGGACTTGTAAAACTGCAGTTTCATTTATTTTTTTCTCCAAACAGGTCTGGCCTTTTCATAAATAAAAATTGAAATCATGTGTGTATATATGCAGGCTTCTGGAAAAACTTTACAGGGTAGTTGTCTTTTACCCATAAGTCTATATTGTTCACCCTCTGATGTGTGACTTCCTTCTAGTTCTGGCATAAAATTGGGAAGGTTTTTATCATGCCAAGGTCTTCCAGAGAGAACCTAAATTGGAATTGAGTGACAATTATTAGTTTTCTTTTGAGATCTTTTAAGCATGCACTGTTAAGGAAGAGATTGGCAGGCGGATTAGTAGAAAACCTCAATTTGCAATTGTGTATGAAGAAGGGAATGTAGTAGACTGAGGTCTTTTGGATGGCCGATAGGAGCAAAGTTTAAAAGGGAGAAGCATTAAGATCCTCTATTATATCCTCCCTGAAGTTTACAGCTCACGTTATGCACTAAAGATTTAGATGTTTTTTTCTGTCACTGTCAACCAATAAAATCTACTTTGAAAACAACAACAAAAAAAGATAAAGCTCTGACTTGGTGATCTAACACTTCAGTAATTTACTATCATAAAATAGTTTTAAGTATGAATGTTTTATCTTCTGCCAAGCTGGAAGCTAGAGATGTTTTGTCTAAAACATGAGATAATGGAAAGTGTATTGTGGCATGTGAATTACTTTAGCCTCTTGGTGGTAAATGTTTGCTTAACCAGAAAAGAATGTGTTGAGTTCTGTGCCAAAGGAAAGGTATTGCCATACTTTGCATTTAGAGTACTGTAAATAAAGCAGTAAATATGTTTCTCTTCATGTGTGTTAATCCACGAGTTATGAATGCATTCATTCAATAAGAAGTGTAATATAATATTATCCCTTTTAAAGAGTTTCATTAAGAAGAGGTCATAATTACTTCAAGTTGAGAGAAACATGAAACCAAATATTTTCATGAAGATTGAAGTTGAATGTGAGAGAAAAATAGTTTTTGCTCAAACTGTTTCCCTTAAATCCCAAGAACTTGATTCCAGTTTTGCCTTCATTACTCTTCTTGTGAGCTGACTCCTCTGATCTACTGTTCTTAATCACACATTACTGTAAAACATTAAGTCTGTCATTTCCTTGACTCCTCCACTGTTGTTTTTGGAAAAGAAAATCCAACTGCATAGTATGTTAATGAGCAGAGGAGGTAGGGCAGCTATGGGAAATACTCCACTTATTGCCTACAGTATATTTTGGGTTTGAACTTCATTTGCCTTTAACTGATACAATAGCTTAGAAGTAATGTAATAATGCTGATTACAGAAAGAATTGCATCGCTCGGATTGCAGTGTAATAATAACAGAGCACTTGTTGGATGCTGCAGTTACAGCAAGTCATACAACAGGGTTTCTCTTTCTTGAGTCTCTGAAATGTCTGTGTCTTTCCCTGGAATCCTGTGTCCAGGCTTCTAGTTAGAATTGGGAGAGATTATTACAGTTCTAGGAAGTAATTGTGGAGAAGATGCTCTGTTTACTTTTTGTTGCTGTGGCATGGTTTGTTACGTACCTGGCCTCTCTCTCCAGGGTGAAGAGGGGCCCTTTCTGCTGGGAGGGGCTGCGCATCCCAGTCACCTGCCTCTTGCAGCACCCACGTGGGGCCATTCCTGCAACCTTGTAGATGGTGCTGTTAGCAGGGATTTGCTTAGGCAGAAACAGGGGTGTTCTGTCATCTTTAAGAAATTACTGCCCCACAGTTCTGAGCGTCAGAGCCCTTACTTCTACAAAGGAAGAGCTCTAAGTGCTTACAAGATACCTCTGCTTTAATAGTTGTTCAGATATGCTTTTTATTTCATCTTCCCAGTACTTCACTGATAATTCCTAAGCAAATGAGATAAATAAGGTACACTATTAACCATGGAAATTAAGCCCGTGGAATTAAAGCCTATAAATAGAACATCAAGTCTTATTTTTAAATAACCCTATGTCCCTGCCTGATTTTGGTAAAGATATTCATTAAGAACTCATAAAACATTTCAACCCTTAAAGAAATCTGACTTTGATCTTCTTAAAAATTATAAAGTTGGATAATAAGACTGGATATGTAATTTGACTCATAATGTAGTTCTTAACATGATATCATCTGAAAAACCTCTAATTGCCAGAAAGCCCCGCCCCCCCCCCCAAAAAAAAATTGTACATTATGTACTCGGTAGTGTTAAAATCCAAAATAAAATTCTGTGTTATTTTTAAGGTACAATGAACTAGATGCCAGTAGAAGCCTCCTGGACAATTTGAAAGGCAAAGTAATAATTGAGTATCCAACACTATTTGTGGTCTTGAAAACACTGAAGAATGACATGGTAGTTCTTGGCCAAGGTAAGCATATATTTATTTCCTGTTATGCTATACTTAGATATTTTAGTTAAATAAACAATAATTAAGGATACACCCACTCATAATATCTGAAGTGTGCAGTATGTCTCGTATTTCCCTCTGAATCTAAAAGATTGCTAAAAAAAATCAAATGCTTTGTTTTAAAATTGCTAACTGATGGCTTGCATCCATAAGCCACATTGTATGTGTTTTCCTAACTTTGTTTACTGATGCTTGATTCTTTTTTGTTGTTGTTGTTTTTAGCCACTATGGTAAAACAACTCTTCAGATTTCTGCTGAATTTTCTGTGTAGCAGAGTTTGACGGAGTTGGTTATTTCAAAAAAGTCAAGCTGTCTGGGGAAGATGAGTTTTAAGTAACTTGAGAAACATACAAAGGAATCATTCTCCATTATTTCCCAGCATAACTCCTAAAATTGGACAAGTAATTCTGAATCACAGGATGGTTATTAGAAATCGTAACAGCAAAGTAGGTTTTCTGGTGGGTTAAAAAGACCAGTGTTATCTTTCAAAAAGAACGTAGTTGAGAGACAGCTTTCATCTTGAAGTTAACTTAGAGAAAAATCCAGGTCTAGCGGGGATTTGTGTTTTCGTTTTGAAGTTAATTTCCATCTTTCTCCCCAGTATAAAGGCTTTGTGTCCCAGCTTCACTTTCTGCAGCTGCTGATAGAGGGAATCGGTTCCCTTGTCTCTTTGTGCCCCAGCTATTCACCTTAGTTATCAAATTCCATACTTGCCAGTGATGGGCAAGTCTGTAATTTTTACAGATTGCTGAGGAAAAGGCTTGCAGTATGTTTGCAGAGGTATTTCCCTGTGTCAACTCAGTCATGCTTTTATATGCGTGCAATTTGACTGAACAAATGCGAGACTGAGAATATTGTGCCAGTGATGCCAGACGTCCTTGGAGCTTGGCCGTTACGACTAGGTGACACTAAGGGACCCACTGAAGCAGTCTGCTCACAAAGAAATCACACACAGACATTCGTGCTGGGCATTGCAAGAGCTGCTGAGAGTGGACACCATGCCAGTGGGTGAGGTGGGAGACTTGTCTGAGCAACCAGCTCCACTGATACTCACCCTAGGAGTGCATGTACATATCCTGGAGTACAAAGAAACTACATACTTGCAGTTTATCCATTATTTCTTGATCTAGGTCCATTACTTTTCAATAGTCAGTCCTACCCCTATGATTTACATAGCAAAAGGGAATTACAATTGATTGACTCATCAACTTAATCTGAATAGGGTGGTTGTCACTGTCTTCTGAGCTGGGAGAGAAGTTGTCCTTTTAAGGGTATAGATTCAAGTAAGTGTTGATTGACCATCTAGATTTTGAGGTTGTGGTGCCACAGCAGCTAGCTGGCTCTGTAAGAGGCAGAGTAGAAGGGGAAGAGGGGAAAGTGCTGACAGCTCTGTCACAGGGCAAGTGTGTGACTTAGAGACACCAACCTGCCTCTGCTGCAGGGATCATTCAGTTTGCAGTCATCCCTGAAGCTGGTCCTGAGGGAACACTGGCAGCTGTTTTGAGTTTGGGGAACCATGAATTTTATTTTATTTTATTTCCCTTTTTTCTTTTTCTTAAATTGTTTCTGTAGATTCCATAAAATCAAGTGCATAGCTCCCTGTTGAGGTGTCTTGGGTGAAACGTAGCAAAAGATTATAGCTAGTGGCAAAACCCCTATGATTTTTCACGATTTCATAATTTATTTTTCTGCATTTTTTTAGTTAACATATTAACACTTAACTTCAGCCTTGAGTTTGGTTTGGACCCTGTGTTCTTGGATCTTTTTCTATGAAGAATGGAAGCCTGCCATAGTAACCCCAGATTCTTTCAGGAAAGTCACGTTCAGAACACAAATATAAAAATAGGAGGGCTTTTTTGTTGCTGTTACTCCACTTGAAGACAAAATACCACTTTTGTTGAGGTGTGGCACAGCCATGTACTCTTCTGTTGTGTGTCATCTTTACAGAATAGAAGAGGAAAAAAAATAGCACTTGGTTTGCTCCACCGATTGCATTCACAGCTAATTGCTGCAAGTGGAAATCTTGGGTTCACCTCCAGGCTCTCCATGGAGAAGTCTGTTGTAATGGGAAAGGTGCTTTAGTCAACTCTTGTCTCGCCAGGGGAGACCTTTCTGCTGCAGCACCTTGTCTGTTACTTGCAGTCCAGTTTCTTCAACACATATGGCTTTTTGTATCACTTGCACCCTCCTCCTAAGCCGTCCCTCCTGCTCTGGCTTATCCTGTCTGGCAGTACTGCTGTTCCTTTCTGCCCTCCCTCTCCATGGGCACCTGGGAGGGACTCTTGTCTCGGAACACATATCCAGCTGACCTCCCCCTGGCATTCTCGGCAAAGAGCTGCCACATTGATGAGTGGATGTCTGCCAGGGTGTCTGCAGGAGCACAGGGGCTTCAACTACCATAGCCCTCTGGGGTCTTTCAAAGGGCCCAAGGGAGAACAGGAAACAATCTTGTGGGAATGTAAGTGCTAAAGTTATGTTTCTTTACTCAGCAGTCTCAGACGTGCCCCCTTTCCCAGGGAGAACAGGGGTTAGTTTTTATAGCCACAGCAATAGGCACATGTTGAGGAAAGTTCACCTTTACCCCCACCATTCAGGTTACTACCCCCAAACACTGAGGGAGAGCTAGAGCTGAACACCTTCAAAGACAGACTGCTAGAATTCAATGAGGATGAAGCCTGTTTTTCCTGTCCTTGTTCTCAGAAATAGCTGAAGTATTTTGGCTGAAACATTAAAAAAAAAGAAAGGGTTGAGGAAGGAAACTGGTGTTGAAAAATTTCAATCCAAAGTTTAAATTTTACATTATAAGTAGATTGCAAACAGTTTTGTGGGGGGAAGAACTGGACAATGTTACTTTATAGGAAATGCAGTCAATGCCATAAAAATACGTACTTTTTGAGTGAAGACAACCCCAAATTCCTGTTAAAAAGAACTCACTGTAACAGACTAATCTAAAGCTAAAATTTGTTTGTTGAGCTTTACTGTGAGTCACAAGATTGCCACATTCTTTTATGTGATATTTTGCTGCTTGACTTGCTTATAGCAAAAACTACAGGTGATCTGATTTCAGCATACAGGGTCAGTCATGGCTGAAGATAGTGGGGGATTATAGAAGCTTTCACAGGACTTAGGGGCAAAAACAATCCTTACTTTGTGCATTACTCAGTACATATCTGGCATATAAATGTTAATTGATTATACACTAGATTTAATGTAGACAAAATGTGACCTCTGATGTTTCTGGGTGAAATGCTTCTGTTTTCTTGAACAAATTCCATTGAAACTGTACAGGTGCACACTGTGCCCTATGTATTATCCATGGTTGCCAGCTGTAGAACTCATCTTGACAAGACAGTAACCAGCAGCTCCCTTTTGGTAACGTTTCCTTAATGAAGCATCTAACACTAAATACTAAAAAATTCTCTAAATTCGTAGTTGGATCAAACACTGAAAATAACAATGAGAACAGAGTGTGAATCATGGGCTGACTTTGCTGTAGTTTATTTTTGTGCTGCCTGAGTGCCACTGACCGTTGGCATTCAGTGACCTCACCACAAGGTGACTGAGGTCAGTGATTGTTCAAGGAGTCTCAGGGTGTGAGACTGAAGACCAGTTTGGAAGATGGGTGCTTCACAACATCATCTCAGCAGAGCACAAGCTGTGTCCTAAAGCAGAAGTTACTGTGCAGCTTTAACCTTGTCAGCCTTAGCTTGTGGATTAACACCATCTTTGAGATGCTGGAAGATGTGGAAGCAGCACAGAGGTGCATCATCCTAATTTTCTGTTTCCTTGTCGGATTTCTCAGTAGTTCCTCATCTTATCTGAAATGCTAATAGAAGTGTAAATGACTTAGAATTCATAACAGTTGTCATATATGTATGTAGCAACCCAGAAAGCAACGTTTAAAACGAGTAAGGCAAGAGAACAATTTTAAATTCTCAGTAGGTGAAGAGGAAGAGTTTTGTGTGGGATAAGTACTCTGCTTACCTACTTAAGACTAAAGTAGTCTTAAGACTAAAGACCAAATTTTAAAACTAAAAGGAACTCTCAGCATTGTCTTGCTTTCTCCTAACATATGATTTATCCCATGTTAGGAGACTGGTTATGTCTTACCAAATAGCTGTCCTCAAGGAAAGTGTGATTAAGAGGGAAAGAAGATGAGAAACTACTTCCAGTTGATAAGGGAATAACATTGCTGAAACTAATTGCTTGTTTGGTTTCTGTTTGTGTCCTACACCCTCAGATACCAGTGGACCTGCAGAGAACTCGGACAATGAAAGTTCATCCATTTCATCTGTGGAAGAAGGGGAAATTCGGGACAGTGCGTGATGGTTCTTTGAGAGAAGAGGGTGGAATGGGCTTTTTTTTTTTTTTTTTTTTAATTTAGTTAAATCAGTTTTTTATACGACTGAGTTTTCAGAGGTTTTGTTTGGCTTTCTTCAGTAAGGGCAGCACATCCAAACTGGTTGCCTATTTTTGGATTTACTAATGCATATTTAGGGATGTAAAGAGTTTATAAATTGCTATATAAATAAATTGTTGGTTCCAGAAAAAAAATTATATTAAATTGCAGCCTTTTGTCTATCTATCTATCTTTAATAAATCAGAGTAACCCAAATTTAAAGTTTCCAAGTTAGTTTTAACAATGTATTTTTTCCTTTTGCACTAACAGCTCAGTGTCTGATTTCCAGCTTTAAATATCTGATCACATATTTGTATTTATGTGTAGGTTTTAGTCTTAAACTTACTGCAAAAAAAAAAAAGCTATTTCATTAGATTAATTTTCTTTTAGAGAAGGAAATGGATTTTGTTGTGATTAGCTGCTGCAAATGATCTTACTTTACTTTGAATTCAATCTTCTGTGGTGACATTTTGGATTCCTGGTGCAATACATTGTTTTTTTCTTACTCTGTTTCATCTTGTTTAATGTGTTATGGACAGGTCAAACCACAGTTCAGAGTGACATGTTGCGGTATGTTTGATCTTCTTCTACCCTGATCTTCTAAATCAGCATTGGTTTTAAAATCAATGGAAATGGATACACAGAGTGTCACTAGTGCTAATATACTAGGCTTCTAAACAAGGCTTACGTTAGGAATCTGATATTAATTTACCTACTGAAGCCAGGTATTGTAAATATTTACTGGAATATCAACTAAATTTACCTGCTTAAAACCAAATAAACCTTAAAAATAAAAGTCCTGTACTGCTATCATCTGCTGACAACGGAAAGAGGTTGCTAACTTGTGAGAAGATTTCTAGGTCTCATGAGCACTCCCCCAGGTGCGTGAGCCCACCGTGCCTGTGGGGGTCTGTCTGTGGGGAGAGCCAGTGGACCAGGCACTGCTCAGCCATCAGTGTAGGCGTTGGGGCTTTGGTGTCTCACTAAGTCAGCATTTGTAAAGCCTCAAGGGCATGATCACTTTGCAAACAGCTTTGTGAGGTTGTTGCTGCCATTGTTGTTACTCCAGTCCGTTTCCTGCATGAAACTAGCACTTTTGTGACAGAAATTGGTGGCATAGGATGCACACTAAACTTCCACAAACTTGGTTTTCCAGTCCTTTCCAGTCCTGCAAGTGCTGGTATTATAGGTAGAAAGAGACCAGAAAGCACTGGAGGAACTTGTTGATGGAACAGGCGGCTGTGGCAGCAGTATGGGAGCAGGCTCAAGCTTCCAGTCGAGGCTTCAGGGCACCAGTCGTGCTGCATGGAGAGGATTCCTGAGACGTCCAAAGTTTTAGAAGGGTTTTTTTTTCCCACTCTTTGCAAACAAATTGTCATTTAAAATCGTTTACGGTGACTTCTAGCTCATGAAATTTGGAAAGGGCATCAGACCTTTGTAGTCACATACTACTTTTTCTCACAGTGGTATCGCGTGTACTTTCCCTTGTGTGTTTTGCATCCCTGGGTAGAGCAGGGAAGTTTTTCTTCTTGCTTGACAGTAGCCACCTGTACTCTATTTTCTTTTTTAGTCATTGTTGGTCTTCTTCCCACCTCTTGTTTCAATGTTTGGTTTTTTTAACCCTTTTTAGAGGACTAGGATTCTTAGCTATAGGTGCTGCTTTCATATTTTTTCAGCTCAGTGAAAGTGAATAAGCTTTTCCTAATCAGTGATTACTACATGCTGACTTGGTAGCCACAAATTACTTTAAACCAGTCTTGAACTCATTCATAATAACACCAATAAAAGAGCAGAACAGCAAAACTGCCACAGTTCATTTGCCAGAAAATGTTTCATCTGGAGTAAAAGCGTGGCATTTCTGTTAAGATTCATGGCACGCAGTGGAAATGGGAGTGCTTCAAATATTGTGTTGATCTGCATGTGTGAGTGATTAGTCTTTGGCTGAGGAAGGCAGATTTATAATTTGCATGGCTTTCCTCTTGGAGGCTTTCATTAATTGAATGAAAGGGTTTGCCTGTGGTTTTTTTTTTTCTTATATAACTCTAGTTTAAGCTTCCTTGTGAAGCAAACGCAATTGTAATTTCTTTTTAAATGAAGATGCTGCTAAGTCTATCTTTCAGATTTAAGTCTTTCCTACCTTAGGGTTTTAAAAAAATTAAGGAACATTCCTGTGGTGGTTACTAGAACTGAAATTTCCCAAAGCTGGGAATCATCTTCCAGAATTGAATCAGACAGAGTAAAAGGCCTTGGTAGCATTTCCCATTCATTCCTATGTTACTGTTTATCTATTTCTATTTAGTTTTGATAATGATTACACAAGTTTGAACAGTGGTGATTCAGCAAATGCAAACAAAGATGAAATTCAAATATTTCTATTCAGTTTTGCTAAACTTTTTCAATTTTTGTTCATAAAAATGAATGGAAACAATGGTCCCTGGCTAAACAGCCTTACTGATGACAGGTGACCAGTACAGATCCTGCAACAGTCGTAATTCTTCCTAATGTTACTGATTCAATCAAAGTTTATGTTGGTGGCGTGCTGGTTAGGATTCAGAGCGCTCACCAGTGCAGCCCAGGTGTGATTCCTGGTCAGGGAACCATGAGGCCGGGCTCTTCTCAGTGGTGCCCAGTGACAGGACAAGGAGTGATGGGCACAAACTAGAACACAGGAAGTTCCACCTAAATGTAAAGAAGAGCTTTACTGTGAGGGTGACAGAGCACTGGAACAGGCTGCCCAGAGAGGCTGTGGAGTCTCCTGCTCTGGAGAAAGAGAAAGTCTCTTTCAAAACCCACCTGGATGTGTTCTGGTGCAACCTGCTCTGGGTGAACCTGCTTTAGCAGCGGAGTTGGACAAGGAGATCTCCAGAGGTCCCTTCCAACCACTACCATTCTGTGATTCCATATGCACTCTTTGGCGAGGCCGATGGTTTTTAACACTTTCTAGACAGTTAGGGTGGTTTTTATTTGCTGAGTGACTCACCCACAAAAAGCATCATGTAATAAACTGAAGAGAGAAGATGCATCTTTGATAAGATAAGAGCTAAGGCTGCCTGGGAGGCTTCGGCTGTGTCCATTTTGAAAATATACTACTGTAACCATATTATACGAGGATCCCAACAGGACTCAGCCTTGATTCAGCACAGATGATGCCTGTGAATGAAGACTGTGTGATGTTGTTTTAATCTTCATCGTTCAACACCAGCTTGTGTTGAGTGCTTGACTTCATGCCTACTACGTTTACTCATTTATTTCCCTCTATAAACTGCTTGTCACAGAAGGAACAAGCTCTTTGTGTGTAGTGTTGTAATGGCATTTCTTTAAATGTTTAGACTTTCATGTTTCAAGCCCTGAACCCTCACAGCGTGCTCGAGCTGAAGGACCATCAGCTTACAAAGCAAAGAGTAAAGACTCTTGTCCTGAATGAACACGCTACTTAAAAAAATTACAAGCTTAATGAAGTCACCCCTTTCACAGGCTATAAGGGACAAAAATAGAGCATAGCTAAGCGCATAGCAGGAGCTGAGAGATGGGACTGAGTCAGCCAGATGAGAGAGCTCAGTTCTTCTCCTTTTTTGTATAACTTCCTGGAGGTATGAGGCATAAGTTATTGAGTTGTCATGGCTAAACAACGTTATACCCCTGTCATTGTGACAGCTAAGTTTTCAATGAACACATCTGAGTTCTGGGTCTTCCTGTAGTTATCTCCACATTAGGAATTCTTGATCCGTAGAGGAAAAGGGGGTCATGCTGCAAAATGTGTGATTGGTCTACCTCTTAAAGACATGCTGGGCCAATTTGTGTTACTCCAGTCGAGAGATGCAGTTTTACTTTGCAATGGGAGTACAACCATTTCCCATGCAGAACACACTCTACTCTAAAAGGGCAGATAAATTTCTAAGTCCACCATGGTGCTGATAGCAGGTCCCACCTGTGTGCTGTGTGTAAGGGTAGCTGAGACCTTGCCCTGCCAGACACGGCTGTTCTCTGTTGACATCTGTAGGAACGGAGAATGTATAACACTTTGCAAGAGCAGGCTTACAAAGAGTAAATGTACAGCTGTGATGATGTAACTTCAGGCCATATTTGGTCACAAACATTTCATTCTGCTTTCTTAAGTCCCACACTTCCTGCAAACATTTATTCTTCCTCCTTCCCAGGAAAAAATATCTTGCATTTGTGTTTATGTTGTTGCTATGACGTTCAGTTAAACTGTATGCAGATGCAGGTTCTGTTAGTAAGAGAGAAAAAAAAAAAAAAGACTGTGTACTTCAGTGAACAGAGATGACCCTGTGTTTGTATTAAAATGTTGCTATGGCAATGCATATGGTTTTATTTGGTGGCAGTGTGTGGTGAAATGGAAGGAAGTCACATGTATGCAAGACAAACAAGAAGTGGCAGTGAAACCAATTCAAAATAAATACTGAAACTGAAAGGAAGTTGCAGATGACATGTCAAACCAGGAAAAAACAAGGATTGTTCTTTTGCTGCCTGTCTGTCTGTGATGAGATAACAGAACTGTGTTCCCACTGTGTCCTGCTGGGTCTCGGTGACCTGTCAGATGGTCACTTAGCTCTGTTGATGCTTTTATTGCAAGAGCTTCATCCTCTTGTTGGCTCTGTGCATTGTGACTTTTTTTTGTTTTGGAAGCAATGTTCCACTGGCTTGGCCTGATCTTACCACTGCTAGCTTTTCCTGATGAAAGCATTTCCAGGCTGTCTTACTCTAGTAGGCTTTTTGGCAGGAAAAATCAATAGTCATAAAATATGGAAAGCTGCTAGAGCCTTGCCTACATCTGGGGCAAGAGGAAGTCTTTGTGGACTTCCTTGCTCCTACTCGTAGTGATAGAAAGAGGGGATTTTACTTTTTTTTAAAGTAACACAGTAGCCCTCATATATATCTAATCCTTTTGTATTACCCTTCTCTTTGCATCAGTTGCATCTGCCTGTTTGTGGGGTTGCACGACAAATCCTAATGGGTTAAAAATTATCTGCCAAAGAAGCAGGGATAGAAGGGAGAGGGGAGGGGAAGCCTTAATTTAGAGAATAAGTTACCACACTGGGAGCCGTCTGGTTCCTCCATGATCCCCGCTGGTGGAGAAAGCAAAAAGGGTTCCTATAGCCACCTTCTTCCTATCATCCCAGTTCTGCCTCAAGAAAGAGGAAGATGTGACTGTGACAGCTGCTATTGTCTTTCCAGTTCTTACTTCCAGGTTTTCTACTGAATTGTACTGTAGCCCCAGAACACGTCCTTTTTGCCAGTAGTGCCAGCAGAGAGTAGAGATATGCCCAAGCGAGGTAAAAATGAAGCTGATGGATGAGGCCTACATACTAAGGAAAAAGAAGAGACAAAGGTGGCGTTAAAAGCGTGCCTGAAAAGTCCCTGTCACTTTCATACCTAAACTTTCAGTGGCATCTCTTTGTTGACCTTTCTTCCCAGCCTCTATTTTCAGCTGTGCTTGGGCAACCATATTGTTTTTAATGGGGTTGTTCCACTACAGCAGGAGTATCTGCTTCCCTGTTTTCAGTTTCCATTAGTAGCCTTGGTGGTTTTACAGCTGTGATGTCTTGATG